CGAAATAAACATCGGAAATAGTTTTCGGTTCGGTTACGGTTCCGGTCCATTAGTCTACATAATATTTCGAGCCGGTTTTCAGTTTCGGTTTGACTAAAATAACGGTTACGGTCCGGTTATCGGTTTCGGTTTCAGTCCGGTCCGGATCCTTGGTCGAGAGTGCTTCGACAAATTCCAGCGTGGTCGTCGTCACGCCAAACGGCAGTTCTCATGCTCGCACTTCGTATCCGGCGGCTCACACGGGGAGAATCGCGGGGGATGAGTGAGTCATGCTCCGGCAAAAGCCGAGAATCGCTTTATTTTTGTTGCGAAAGAGGTTTGCCACGACAAACGTGTAAGAAACAAACTGTCATATGATGATCGCGGTGGCAGTGGGCCGCGCGCTCGCATTTGTGTCAAGATCAACCAACTTTGTTTTTCGTTTGGTGTGTGACAAGTAACATCAACGTTATGCAGTTGGTGCGTGTCTTGTATGCGTCGGTTTAAAAATATCCCGTCGGCAGCGCGGCGCGCGAGAGAGAATATCCCCGAAGTGATTTTCTTTCTCTCCCTCTTCTCGCGGTGTGTAACGCGAGAAATTCGCGAAAATTGCTCGAATGAACCGCGCGAAGTTTTAATTTCGATCAAATATTAAGCAATATCTTTTCGGTTTTCCAACGTCGCGTATATATATATATGTTTACACACGTGTAGCAATTTACATTGAAACTAAATCGTACATCAAAATAACGTAAAAATAACGTAAAATTATATTATTATTTTATAAATTCGTGAACAGAGAGAGAGAGAGAGAGAAAATGGTCATAAAATTATTTACAATATTCCAATATTTATATCGACAAATTACCGCGCGTTCGACAAAATCGCCCTCGATTTGATCAAAAATATTCGCTCGCGGTTTCTTTGCGAACTGTTTTTTAAATCGCGCGTGTCTCGCGCATTTCTACACATTTTCCCCGCTTCCGGCGGGTAGAGGATTTTCATTACAAGGTTGTAAAAATGCATGAAGCCGTTCCGTAATACTCGAGGTTGTATTCATAACCCGTTGGAAATAAGAAGAGAGATTTACTTCCCCCGTTACGATCTTCTTAAAGCCGTACGAAACGCATCGGCGTTTTACTACGTCACAAGAGACTAACCATTTCGCGAGAGCAAAGTAGTATGTCGTACAAGAGACTAACCCCCAGCTGTCTCCCCGCCCGGTTCTACTCCCGTCTCCTTTTATATGCAACGTTTATGGGAAGATTTTTTTTTATTCCATTTCGCCGGGGTACCGTCCGCTCCATAAGAAGAACATCTTTTTCCATTGCGTCCGTATGAAAAGCAACAAAAAAAAAAAAATGCACACGAAGAAGCGGCGAAACAATGGGAAATTGTGTGTAACTGGCACCGCCATTGTCCCCCCGATGGTGGATTAACGCGTCTCGCGGCAATATTGTTCATTCATCAGACAGATGTGCCTTTGATTATAAAATGACAACGCTGTCGTCACATCGCGCATCGACAAAAGGAAACGTTTATTCCCCTCCAAAAAAACAAACAAATAAATAAAAAGACACAAACAAACGCGCGTAAGCCTTTCCGCGATAAAAGCGGGGGAAACAAACGATATCCGTTTTATAGAAACGTGTGTGTGTGTGTGTGTGTGTGTGTGTGACGCTAGTTTCGTTTTCCGCGACAGTTTCTGCACGAGGATATTACGGGGGAGGATCCAACAACGTTTCTTCGGCCGCGCCGTAATGACCCATTGAAGCGTTATTCTCGCCTCATCGCGAGATTGAAGAAACGCCCGCGTTAATTAGTTTCTTGCGCTGACGACGGCAGGTGTCACGGCGACGGCGAAAACACCGTCGTTTTACCGAGAGTGTGACTATTCACGTGAAAGTACAAACACATCCGGTATCCTTCGACCTTTCTCTCTCATCGTTATGGATGGAAGGTCTCGTCGAGAACGAACAAGATCTCTTCTCGCCGGTGATTCGTTGCTCTGTGTTGAGACGTTGAACGATTGATCAACACGTGCGCGATCTTCTCGCATTTAAATAAAGAGATACTACGCGCGACGCGCGCGCGTACGTTCACGTGAAATTGACGGCATATTTACATATAGGCTGTATACTATAGTTCGCGTCACACTATAGATTTCCAGTACCGTGCACGGAAAAAAAAAGTTTTGCTATTATATGGTTAGCAAAAAAAAATGGTTGACTCTACGAAATATTTTGTTTCATCAACAAAATGTTTTGTTGGCGAAACAAAAATTTTAGTAAACTTAACAAATGTTTTTTTGCTGGCCATATAATAACTAATTTCTTGCTATTCTAGCAAATCTTTTTTTTCCGTGTGGAAATATCGGAACGTACACTGAGAAAAAAATACTATTAACTCAACTAAATGCGTTTAATTGTTAGTTTCAGTTTGTTATCTGAAATACTTGTGTTTTTTTTTTCAATTCAAGCATATGGTAATAAAGATAATAAATTCGTATAAGTTGAATTAACAATAGTGGTAATGAACATATTTAATTCGCTAAACCATGAATTGTTTTGTCGAACATAAGTTGTGATAATTTCAAATAAAAGATATTGTTAAAAAAGATGAGATAGTCACTTCTTATTTAATTTAATTGAATATAATCTGAATTTCTTTGTACTAAGTATTTTTCATCTAATCAAACTGCTTATTTTTATAAGCAGACAAAATATTGTATTGTCCTATTGTGTTGTACATTCAAGGTTATCTGTATTTAAGCAAATTATAATTTTGTTAAAATAACTATATATAAATTGTCTTTTGGTATAACCTAATTATTATATCTATTGAAACATGATATCTTCTTACATTAATCAATATTTCATTGACAGCCCGTGACCGCAGCATATAGTTGAAGCAAATACTAATTTTGTTACTTCAACAACTTTTTTTTCTCAGTGTAGTTGTGTCAAAAAAAAAAAAAAAAAAAAAAAAAGCTGGTGTGTTATTTTGTAGGAAATCAAAAAAATCGAGTTATCAGAATCTCGACTTTATTCTCAATAATTCTACAGAATTATTGACGGATCAGAAAAATACGAGTTTTTTTTTTTTTAATTACAAGCCAACAACTTGCTTCGAACAAAACAAAATTTCCCGGAGAAATATTTCTCACAATTTTTTTGATAATCAATATAATCGCTATTTCGTCAAAACAAAATCGCTTTCACCGACGATGCGTTTCGCTTCGATCGCGAAATCCAAAACCACCGACATCTCGAGCTTTCATCGCAGGGAGATGTGGTGCGATCTCAGGTGATCGCAACAGGATGCGATGCGTCCTGGATTACCGATGTTTGCGTATCGAATTGCTAATTGATGGAGAGAAATTTGTTATTCAAATTGATAGCGCGCAGATCCGTTCCGCGTGTCGACGAAAAATCGGAGAACGCGTTTCAAGATCCACTGAGACGACGTTCGTGTCGTTCAAGTGTTAGAGTTTTCCTCAAAAAAAAAATGTCATCGTCGTATAATTTCTAGATATTTTCAGCGATATATATATGTATGTATATATATTGTGCGACCGAGCATTTTCCAAGTTTTCTCGAGTATTTCGAAATTCACTGCTGTATTTTCGACCGTCATCTCGCGAGATGAGCCCTCAAAGTTGCGAGAATTTTCGAGAAACGCCTTTTCCGCCACCCGAAAACTGTCTTAAGTTTCAGCGCGATTTCGAGGATCGTCGAGAGTTCCGAGAATATTTAGAGCACCTTGAGTCTCTCCTCGAGAATTTTGAGTGTTTACAGGGGAGAGGTACGAGGATATGATCTTGCGGGAGCATCAATTTTCAAAACTTGCGAGTATCGACGGGAAAGTTCAGAAAAAAAAAAATTCGAATATATAAGTTTTACAAGATGATATGCCTGTGAGTAAGAGGGAGAGAGAGAGAAAGAGAGAGAGAGAGAGAGTGAGAGAGAAACAGAGAGACGGTTAACTCGCGATGCTAAAAGCTTCTAGTATGTCCGGAAAAAGCGTTTCGAGAGAGAAAGACCGTTCATCGAATTATGCATCTGATGTTCTTTACCGAGTGTCAATTGCGCGCACAGTCATGTTAAGTGAAGCCTCTCAGATTCCCGTGGCCCGAATACATAAAATTTATTTCCGAGAGTAATTTGAAAGTGCATTAACAATATCGGCGCGGTGGAAATTCGCGAAATTTCCGCAAGAACAAACGCGCGCAACAGCCTCCTCCTCTCGTTTATTTACATAGACAATATCATTTTCGTTCAATTGCGATGTAATATTCAGTTTGTTCGCGCGGTTTTGTTGCGTCGCATTTAATTGTAATTGAAAAAGCAAATACGAACCTCGCGGCAGCAACAGCGCGTCGTTATAAAAAATGTATACTGAAACACGTGTGGTCAATATATCGCGTCTTGACTATATATATATATATATATATATATACAATATATATATACATATATATCAATAATACATTATGCTTTTAACATCGTTTAAACCCCACGTGTTGAATTCGAGTTTTCATTTTTTTGCTTTTAAATTCGTAAAAGCAATATTGTTGATAATATTGTTGCGCGCACGCGAAAATTTGTGTATCAAATAGATATATCAGCGCGAGTCTCGATTTTTGTTAATTAACTTTTTTTAGCTTACGTGTACGTGTAAATTTTATTATATTTTATACGGCGATAAATGCGCTTGTAGATCGTCGGCGCGGAAGTGCGAATGAAGAAGAAAAGCAGAGAAGAGCTATTTGGAAAATCAGTACCGGCTTTCTTTGGATAAAAAAGTAAGACGCTTCTTTAATCATCAGTATTGTCCGGGATTTAATCTGAAAACCCCGGGCGGGGAGACAGACCGGAGTAATTCATTAAGGAGGGATCGGAGTCGACTCACCGAAGGAGATGAGGCCGCTGTTCAGCATCGACAACTTGATCTGATTGGGGATGGAGGCGAGACTTTGTCCGGGATTTAGGTGACGCTTTCTGGGCGGTTTCTCCGACGCCCGGGGCGCGCTTTTGCTCCTATTGTGATGATGATGCTTCCTGTGGGAGTGGGAATGCGAGTGGGAACCGGCGGCGGTTGAGGCCGCGCCCGTGCGATCGGAACCGACGCTGCTCAAACCGAGAACACCGCCTCCGGTCGACTGCGTTCGCAGGGACGACATGTTTCTGCAAAAAAATCAACAAAAAATCATAAAATTAATCAAACAAATAAAAAGATACAATAATCGCTTCTATATACGACGAAACAACCAAACGTCGGGCTGCTGCGCGCAGCAGCTTAATTTCGAGCGACACAATTGAGCGAACGACGGAGAGAAGCGAGAAAAACATATCTCGATCTCTCCGGGTTCGCGAACGTATTGGCGTACCTAACCGACGATTTTAGTGTTTTTTTGTTTCGGCACTTTTGTAAAAAAAAACGAAACGTACAAACAGCACCGAAAAAAAAAAAAAAAAAAAAAAAATCTATCGAGTGCCAAAATCTCCTCAAATATTTGTGCGTCGGAACGGCTTGTATGTTCAAGAGTCCAACGTTAAGCGCCAGTTGACACTGTTTGTTTCGTCGTATATACAAGCCCCCCGAAGGATTATCATCGTCGTCGCGCTATTATCTGTCGCGTCGTAAGACCGAGTGGCGCATAAACTCGACGCTCGAGGGGAAAGGGTAAAGCTGCGACCAGCTTTCAAACCCTCTTCGCGAAACACTGAAAAGCGATTCTCGCATTTCTCGGAGAACGATATATATATTTCCAGTTAGTTTAGATGTCTCGGTTGAGACTCTCTCTCTCTCTCTCTCGCTGAGAAAACGCTTTCGCAAAGAGTCTAACGTGTGTTATTTCCTCCTCGAATGCTCCGGAAAAGAAGGAGGAGAAGGAAAAGGGGGATATATAAATGGTATCGTTATTCTTAATCAATTTTCCAAAAGATCCGTCTGAAGCCGGGGTCGTATGGGGTTTCCGGTAAATTTCACAGCCGAGCTACGACCGAGTAGCTCTAAAAACGAGCAAAACGCGCTCTCTCGCGCCTTCCGATTGACTGTGATCGTTGCACGCGACGTGGCAGAGAATAGAGAACGTCGTGTTTCAGGCCAGCTGGCAAACGTGTGTGACGCACAGAGAGAGGATCGCGCGTCGTGTTTTCCTGCTTTTCCTCGACGCGCCTATCTATATTTAACGACGCGACGTAATAAGTTAATAACCTTTTGCACGTGTCCTTACATCGGTTATACCTCTCTCTCTCTCTTTCTTTCTTTCTTTCTCTCTCTCTTTCTCTCTCTGTTTATTTCAGTATCCAAAAACAGTATGAGTTTACACAACTACTAATACCTTGTTGCTTCGACGACCGCACGACAAGGTCAAAAAGTTCGACCGCAAATAAATACCCGCGAGTTACAAAAGACTTATTATGTTTCGAGAATACGAGAACTTGGAGAGATATTATCGGAAAATTGTCGCGAGCAACTGTTACAGTTAATATCCGATTAAAGTTTTTTTTTTTTTTTTAACGCGGAGAGACGAAGAGACTTTAAAACTTTTCTCAAAACTGCAACAATTACAGTATTCTTGATGAATTTATTCTAGAAGAGATTATATAAGAGAATACAAATTCTCTCTCTCTGACTATATATATATATATATATATTCGTGTTCTCTTTCTCCCCCTCTGTATATAAGTGTCGTCTGTATTAAAGAAGATAATATTTCGCTCTTTCGTTGCTCATTGCGTCTTTCATTCAGTAACTTTCCGCCGTCTATCCACTTTCCATTAGCAGTGATGTACTTTTAATCGTATTTCCATACAAGAGAATTCGAGAAATAATGTCGTTAAAGACAGCCGGAAGTTATACTCCCGCTAGATCTGGTGTAACTTTCTAAAATTGAGCGTTGATGAAGTTTCGAAATTAATAAGTGAAAAACTGAACTCTACCGGAGAGCTGCTGTTTTCTTATTCGGAGTGTGCTAAATTAATTTTCCTTATTGAGAAAAGCGTGTTTATGTCGTGTTTACGAAAAACTTTTCGTGAGAGACAGAGAGAGAGAGAGAGAGAAAATATATATATATATACACACACAGGTATGTTACATACTTCGTTCCAAATTCGTGTAACAATTTTCGCGGCAGGCACGCGGAACTTTGGAAAAGCCATTTCGCGGATTATCCGCATGCGTAATTAGCGCAACGTAGAGAAACGTTATTTCTCTCTCGGACACAACTCGACGAGGGCTAAGTTTCTCGTATTCGTTATCATCCACTGGGGCGCGCACAGAGTTCGGATTACTTCGTAACCCCCCGTACGCCAAAGGGGACAATTTGCGGGTACGAGGTTCCTCTCACGCGTAGTCTCGTGTAATAAATCTTTCATGTGCAAATCGCTTCAAGTATTTTAATCTCTCAAAGCCGAGAACATCAGCACGTAATAATGACCGTTCTGACACACGACATAAAGCGCGCTCGAGAGTTTCCTCTCGTTTTATACTCGAATCCGGACGACGTCCGGAAAATGTATTCTAATCAAAATTATTATTCATACATAAAACATGTATATTTTCGCGCGAAATTAGGTACACACGTTTTCAAAATTTTATATCCCACAGAGAACAGGCACCTACATAATATCTCTTGTGCGTAATTTTCGCGGAAAGCGTTATTTATCATTTACACAGCCGGCGTTGGCGAAGACGCTTTCCCGATTTATCGCAAGAAACTGTTGGAGAAAAGTTAGAAAGAGAGAGAGAGAAGAGAAAGAGAACTAAGTTGGGAACCAACTCTCTCGTGGAAATATTTAAACGAACGCGCAACTGGAACAAATTTTTTCGCGAACGATTGCTTAAACATCACCGCACAGAAAATTTCGACAGATTGCGCGGAACTGTAATGTATATTCACGTATTATAATATTATCGAATTACCTCGCCGTGTTTGCGAGGTTTAATCCGTCATCGTCGTGTCTGTTTCGAGCCTCGGTGATGGATCTCCGTTTTAACGGAGCAATATTTCGTTGCAGTGTGTGTGTATATATATATATATATATATATATACATCTCTTGTGTTCTTGCATCGCGAATTCGCAGTCACGCATTTACAGCCGTTTTCTGTGTGTTCGTTGTGCCGTGAAGGAATTCAATTTCCTCCTTTGTCACACACACGTCGGATTTTCCCGACGAATTAAAACACGAATTCAAATCTATCGCCGCGAGAAATGTATCGTCTAATCACGCACAATTAATAAATGTGTCCGTATATGCGTTTCTGAATAAAAGAATTTCTAAATCGAAAAACGTATATGTTTCTTGAAATTACAAATCGGACAAAGAAAATATTGCACGCTCTTTCGCGCGCGCGCACTCTTATGCAAATAATTATTAAATTACAAATTCACAGAACAGCGCCGATTGCTGCGTTGTTTGCTCAATCGACCAAAACTAGACTAGATTTGTTTCGCTGTATAATCCGTGAACGCGCGCTCGATTATAGTTAAATTAATTGATAATTCACAATAGAAATAAAGATTGTGCTCAGTCGGACGGAAAAAACTGATACGCTGAAAATTCCGAGAGTTATAATCCGCCCAAGTCGTCGGACCCTCTTCCCCTTTTTTGGTTCACGCATTTGTGAATTTTTTGTTGTGAATTTTTTAAAACGCCAAGTTAATCGAGTTAAATAACAATCATCGGAGCATCGATCATCGTCAGCTGTCGAACAAGTCAATTTTTTTTGTACAAGAGGAGGATCGTCTGCATTCGTGTGACAATACAATCTAAACAGAGTGGGTTTCGCGCGTCACGTATATGTGACATGTATATACGTAAAAAACGTGTCATAAATTCGAGTCCGACGGTGCTTTTAATACTAGACGAGAGAGAGAGAGGGAGAGAGAGAGAAAGCCGCCGCGTCGTTTCGTTTAAGGGCGCAAAGAAAGGAAAGAAAGCGGACGTTTTTCTTTTCTACATGGCTTTCGCGCCGATATGTATGTTGTTCTTTTTCTTTCTCCCGTCTATATGGCGCGTTCTCGCCCTCTTATTTTAAGATCCATTGAGTTTATCGTCTGTGACGGCGGCTGCCTTGGAAGGACGGCAAAAATACACTCGCAAAAACACTTCGACGCGAAGACACTTTTCTCTCACACGGAGGTCGCCGAACACAAAAAAAAATCATCGTCACGCGCAACTCTCGCAATCTCACTCGTCTTACGCAATTAACCTTCATATCCTCCCTCATCGAAGATCAATTTCTTCGTATTCTCGCGACCGTGTTTCTCACAATTTTGCCGTATATATACAGCTTATATATACGACGAGCGCTAACTGTTATTCTAATTAAATTTAATTCGGTGTCTCGTGATTTAACTTTTCGGAGCTGATGAATTATTCATGCAGCATGCCGCGTCGTTACGCATATTATTCCTCAACCTCCAGAAAAGATTGCGAGGTCGGTTAATTTTTTTTTTTTTTTTTTTTGCACATCTACGTACAATAGCTTTTAATAACTCGTGTTGATTTAATATAAAATTAATATAAAATTTTGCGAGATATATATACACATACACAAACACACACACACACACACTCTCTGTTTTAATTTTGAATTTCAGAAAGATCTCCTGCCATTTTTAAATTCGAACGTTTACAAACAAATTCTAGATAAATCTGCAAATTTGAGATAATTTGATTTTAATTATATTTCGACGAAAAACATTCGACTCTCTTATGTTTCAGCTGAAAGAACAGTCTCTGTGCAGTTTGAATAAACCTCAAAGTTTTGTTCTCCCAAACGCGAAGATTATAATTGCTTCCCAATTGCTTCTCGCCTTTTATATATTTACATTCACGAACGTGCTCCGACGAAACTTTCGTGGCTCCTACGCTTGTTTATCGCATCGAAGAAAGAGAGCGAGACTCTATCCGATCGACTCTCTTTTTTCTCTCTCTCTCTCTTCCTGTTTCTCTCGCGTTATCATCAGTGATTTTCCGGAGAATTGCACGGAGCGCGTGTGCCGCATCAGCGTTCTCTCTCGAAGAAAGTTCCCCCCCTCATCTCGCGTTTATGCGCGCGCGTAATTTG